ATAGTAGAGCTACAGAAGATTGTACTCCTTGGTACAGCACATATACTAAGGAGGACACTATCCATCAAGTAATACCAATCACAACTATGTATACGGACCTATATTTTATAAAACTTTGAAAAGATAAGAATACAGATAATAATAATGATTTAAATAATAATATTTCTTTATTTCTAAAAAATCCTATATACACTCTGACAAAAGATAAAACAATATTAATAAAATTTACAACGATTTAAAAGTGGCTTATATATGTATAAATATAGACATATTTAAAAACAAAATAAAAGAACTAACAATTATATTTAAGAAATATAAAACGGCGCGCGTGTCTCTGTCCTCTGATATAAACACGGTGGGAGTTCGAAAAATACGAGAGAAGCAAGCTTAGGAACACGAGCGTAGCGAGTGCTTCTCTTGCTTCTCGAGTGTTTTTCAACTCCCACCGTGTTTATATCAGAGGACAGAGACACAAGCGGCCGTTTTATATTTCTTTTATAAAAGCCAATCAGAGCGCGCGTTATATATCAAACATTTTATAAAATCAAATACAATATAATTAACCCCTAAAATATCTTCCCCTAAAAAGGAATGCAACAAGGTGCTAATTGTGTATTGTATAATCTATCCATTCCTTGGTTAAAACATGAAAATCTGCTATAATTTCACAAGTTAGCGCATTTTCTAATATTTTATCTAATATCTGATTCCGACTTCACGAAAGCTTTCTTTAGCTTCAATATTACGGCAATTCTATGTGGGGAACATAGCAAATTAGAAGCATCTTTTGGCTATTGTTTTGAGTCCTTATGATTGGATAAGAGCGTTTAATACAAAATAGAGTTCATCCACATTTTATTTCAAAAATGTGTTACCCACAGGTTGATACATTGTGGGTAAGTTGAAATGCCGCAGAACAATAGAGGGTTCCCTAGTTCTTAAGCCCATTGTTACTGAATAGTCAAATTTTGTTTCACGTTTTTACTCACTTCACTCTAAAAACGTCCACTATTGAACAATGTACCATTATTTTATACACACTTATTTGGTTCACGAAGTGAGTTTAGTCTACGCCAGAAAAAAAAAAAAAA